AGGTCGAGAGTCGCAGAGAGGAAGAAAACAGAACAAAACAAAAAAAAAAAATCGCAACATTCAATATCTTAATATATCTACTGCAGAACCGTCTCAACAACATAAAAATAAAATAAAATAAAAAACTGCTTCTAGTGTCAACAGCAGGTGCGTGAGGAAGGCACCAGCCCACCTAGAAACATAGGAAAGGAAACCTGAAACAAATAGTGGGGGAAGAAGGCTCGAAAACAGAACAAAACAAAAAAAAAAAATCGCAACATTCAATATCTTAATATATCTACTGCAGAACCGTCTCAACAACATAAAAATAAAATAAAATAAAAAACTGCTTCTAGTGTCAACAGCAGGTGCGTGAGGAAGGCACCAGCCCACCTAGAAACATAGGAAAGGAAACCTGAAACAAATAGTGGGGGAAGAAGGCTCGAGGAAACAGACCCCTTGTTATGAAAATAAAGGCATAAAAGGAAAAGCTCTGATCCTCCCCTACCCCTCTCCCCTGATGCCATTCACAGAAATACTGCTACTTGCCCTTTCATTTATGGAGCAAAGGGGGCAAGTCTCTACCTGAGAAAGCAAAACACTCCTCCTTTCAGAGCCTGCGAGAGGAAAGGCAGCCTGGGCACCCTGCACAGAGGAGCACCACAGTGACATCTGCTTATGGATTTCCAAGTAGTACATTGCTTATTTAAGGGCTCTGACCTTTTTTACGCTCCTCTTACCCTCATGCAGAGGAGCCTGATCTCTTCAGAGAACACACCTGGGGCCCTTTATCTGTAGAGTTTCTTTAGAGCAGGGGCTATCTGTTTTAGACCCAACTATTTCAGGTAGCCAGGTGCTTTCTCTTCAACCAGGGACCTTTTCCCCATGCAAACACTGCATTTAAATCAGAGAATTAAAGAGGTAAAGTTATCTAAAGTAGAAGTTCTTGTCTTGTCCTTTACCTCTCAAGCCTGCGATGAGCAAGTACTTGAAACACACAGAGAAAACAGGCAAACAAACAGGGATGGAGAGATCCCAGTTCACCAGCTAGCAACTGCCTTCGGCTCTGAAGCCTCTGCTGCACCATGGCAGAGGCAGCCCTGGAGAAGTGCTCATGCTCACTGCAAAGGAACTGCAGGGGGACAGAACATTAAAAACCAGCAAAAGAGAAATGAAAATAAATAAATAAATAATAAGCAAACAGAAAACTTAGGGGTGCTGTTGTTTGTTTGCTTATTTTTATTTTACCTTTCTTTTGCAAAAGCTGCTAGTAATTCTGTTTAAATGCCTACTTGGGGATTTAAACTAATACCAAAACCATAAAGGAAAGCTGAAAGAAAACTTGCAGGTTGCCTCCCACTGCTATGTCTTCCAAAAGGTCTCTTGAGTAAGTAGATAAACTGAACAGTGGAATGCATTTTGCTGGGAACCCAGTCCATGCCAGGTGCTTTGTAGAAGATCCTGCAGCTCCAGCACGTAACTACTATGTACTGCATGATCTAACCACAACAGCACTAAGCCACACCATCTATTTCTGGTCACCTAAAGGGAACAGATCACAGTATATAGCTTAATAGAGGTCAGGGTAAGGAGCAGTCTCTACAAGCTGCTGAACAGCTTCAGTTAGACTAATCACAGATAGGATCAGTCTAAGTCACATAACTTTTCCAAAATTAAAAAAAAACAATTTTATTTATTTATTTTTTTTACAAAAATACATATTTGCAGTCATGTGGTAATAGGTTTCCATAGTTGCTAAGAGTTAACATGGTTCAAAGAAACTACACAGCGCTCCAGGTTAAATATTTAAGATAATTTCATGTAAGAATGTCCACTTACTAATTTCTGAACTAGAAATGCTATTCAGAGTGTGCAAAAGAAATGCATGTTAGAAATTAATGCCCAAGTGGTGTAGTTTAAGTAGCACAATAGATGCATTAAACATTTGTCAAGGAATAATTGTATATAAACTGAAACAGTATTAAAATACAGATTTTCATAAAAATACTGTTGTGATACTTTATATCTAAATAACTCATTTTTAGAAAGATGGTATGAAAAATTACCATAAAAAGCTTTTCCTGTAGCAAGATTACAATGTCTTTTTTTTTTAAAAAAAAAACCCTATTCAAGCACTTAAAATAAGAATTTATTGATAACTGTGATCCACTTGTCATGTAATAGTGTATGCTGTGCGTACACTACACCATGAAGTTAGTTCTGTGTGAAATGAGTCAAAGAATACTGCATGTGGAGCAGGTGAATTCATATATACCACTGAAGCTTGTCTGAAGATACATGTCACATTTTTCTTGCTTAATATGCAAGATGAAATTATTCTTTACGTACGTGTACTATACACATATGCTGAAGAATAACTTTGTACTACAAAGTTATCTTGCCACAGTTTGACCTTTTCATAGGTTTGCTTCAAGCCAGAAGCAAGAATATCTCCTTCCTTCCCCATTTCCTCATCAGAGATGTTACTGGTATAAGAAAACAAACTTCAAGTAGCTGACTGCTACAATCTCCAACTGAAAGAGAGCCTCTATCAGGCTAACTGCTGAAATGATTGATTTTTAAACTTACTGTGTTTATTTGTTGTGATGAACACTATGTTGTTACATTTACACTAGTAATCCATTTTAAATCCTGGATGTGAGCAGTTTAAAAACCACCAATTAGAATATCATTAAATTTATTTTTAAGGCATGTGAATAAGAGCACCCTAATTATCTGATATTGAATGGAAGAGACTTTTCTCTTCATGAAATACCTGTCAGTTGTCTTTTCTTCCTCAAAGATATTATTACACTAATATAATCACTGGAAAGAGGGCAAGAAAGAAAAGCAATTAAACAACCGATGTATTTGCTCGTCTCTGTGAGAATTCCTCTATTGAAATAGTTTTGAAAGCAATCATTTTTCCAGTAGAGTATCTCAAATATTATGTATTCTGACCAAGTCACAAGATATGCTTTTTGGGCTCATCACCAGCTAAAAGCATTAAAAACAAACTAAAAAAAGCCCCAAATACTTAAAAGCAAGTGGATAATCTGTCAACATGACAGTACAGGATCTGTATTACCTACCCCTGAGTTACCATGATGGGTATAGCAGCACCAGTTAGAAAATATTCTGCAATGCCAGCACTGCACTGTGGTCCAACACTGTGGTATACTTACATATGCCCACATATTTTTCTTTAAGAGCACTTACTTTAAACATAATTAGTGGAATTTTTAGTTGCATTGGTATTTAAGTGGAGAGAAAAAACAATATAATGGACTACACCATGAATATAGCCCATCTGTAGTGTTAATGTACTATTTAGAACTGTGTTCCAAACCTTTTATGCCACTTTTCTGGGACGCTCATTTTGCCTTTTGTTTTCTGCACCAAAAAAATTTCTCATAGAAATCATGTTGTGCCAGTTTTGAGCAAAATGTCCTGTAAATCATCTGGAAGTGCTAGTATGATATCATCGATGTGCGTTTGCAGCTTTTTCAATGTATCAGTTTTCACAGGAAGATGTTCTCTGCCAGCCTGCAACTGCAGAAGTACAATGAAACAAGTTTTCAGTTGAAAACACAAACCTATTTTAATAGAAACAAAAATGACCTATTCATGTGGATGCAGAAAACGAATTCCTCCTTTGCCCACCAAGCAGGAATTTGAACAGGTTGAGATCTTTCCTCGATATGTACACACCAGCATTAAATAACTCTAATTTAGAGAGACTTAGTAATCATAAGGATGTTTGGTTTTCTGCTTTCCTGATAGTTCCATTTTGTTTTCAGAAGAGTCACAAAATTCTAACTGGCTTTAACAAAACAAAATTATGAAAATAGTTGGCTTCTGACATAGCTGGCTAATGATATGAAGTTTTGGGAATGCAAAAAGATAAAGAGATCGTTAACTTAATCAAAGGAAATCACTCCTGACTAACTTTTCAGTCATGGCTGAACTAAGCTATTTCTCATTTAGGAACCTAGATGACTGGTTCCTTGAGCTACCTAGATCTGAAAGCATATTTTCATTCAAGGTACCTATAAATAGAAGTATTCATTACTTTTATCTAGTTAAGAAAGGCAAATTTCAGCAACACTCAAATCAGTTACTTACCAGTTTATTCTTCAGCTTTAAGACAAGATCCACTGTTTCTACCTCTGTATGCTTTTGACTCCAGAAAACCAAGTTCTATTAGAATAAAGTATTGAAATATTTATATCAATACATACAATTTTCACAAGTAGCAGTCGTTGTTTACATCTAATATTCATCATTCTTCTCTTTCTCTATTCTCAAGTCATTTACTAAATGCATTTTATTCATCTATTGTCTGTAGTGTGAGCTACAACATCTGTTTTATTTGCAAGTTTCTCCTGCGTTTAGCACAATGGCAGACTCGGTCACAACCACAATACAAACAAGTGTGTAAGTTAAAAATGCTAAAGAAGCCTTGGTAAAAACAGGATCTACAAAGCAAAATACTAGTGAAGAATTGTTAAATTAGATCTGCCAGCATGATGAAATATTTTACTAGCATCAGCTGCACGTCTTGTTTCTAGAGTATTAGAGGAAGTCTACCACACAGTGAATAATTAGTAAGATGTACTCCATTTCCCCAAACAAATTATTTTACTCTCCCTCTTTACTGTTCATCTACTGAAGACACTTGCTCTTGTACAAAAAGATGCAAGTCTTTAAGTAAGTCTTTTTAAGTAAGATGTAACAAAACCATTAGGACTAGTAATACATTCATCCATTTCTTGGTAATAAATTAGTGACAAAGATGGTTGAATAGATTCTAGGTGGTATAGCCAACCTAAGTATTACTCTGCAAACTATGAGGACCGCTCTATTTCAGCCACACATGTTGGCTGCTCCAATGTACTGTTTGGGAATTGTAAGACAAGTGTTAAAAAACAGGTTTTAATTTTTTACTAAGCAGTAATCAGTCCAGTTGGATTTTTTTAAGCTATGCTACTGATTTTTTTGTTATTGTTTTTCTCTCTATTTTCTGTTTATCTTGTCATCCTACCATCTGTTTCCCTTTTGTAGTATTTGTATTTCAGCCACCTGTTCTTACTCAAATAAGCAGCTGAGGTGGTATTAGCATAGCCTACAGAATCCATCAGATAACATAGAATCATTTATAAGGCTTTTTGTTAAATATCAATAACAGATTTCACTTCTGTTGCTTCTGTTTGTTAATATGAGGCAGTTCTAGTTCCGTTCTAAATATTATCAATATCTAATTAACTATTCATTTTCTATGGCACTCAATGAATTTATACCTACAAAGAAAATAAAACACTTTTTAGTACTGAGATATAATTAATTACATGCAATACCACAGAAGGAAGGGAGAGAAAAAAAATCAGTGTCAAAACATATAAGAGTAAAAATGGACTGAAGAGCTATTTTATATACAGTGTCAGTTATTATAAAAGTGAACTGTATTTCATTATTGTTTTCTTTTCCTATGTTAATTCCAGTCCATACTTGGCTAAATAGGTCATAATTTACACATTCAGACCCGACCAAGTCATCAGCACCTTAATTTGCAGAAACGACATAAGTAGTAGCAATAAATATGACATTAAGGGAAATTTTAATGTAAGTATCATTGTTACCAACCTCATTGCAGAGAGCTTCCAAATGAAGGGCCTCCAACTTCTGTGTCATTTCTTTCTGTCGGCTCCTAAACCAACCATCAAAGTTTGGTGATTTCAAAAAATGCCTGGTAAAACACAAAACAAAATCATATTTTTAATACAATTATGATAGCACACCATTTTCTATGCCATCACCTCGCAACCAATTGTTTTGGAGGTTGAAGGTGGTATTGGAACAATTTCTCTTTTCTTTCAGATATATATACATGCACGCTATTCTAAAGTAGAATACAACAGGTGCTTCCTTAATTCAGAAAATGGAAAAAAAAAAAAGAGGAGAACATAATGTCTAAAGACAATGCAAGTAAGAAGTCTCGGCAGAATAAAAGCAAGGCTGAAGTTTTAAAAACCTTGTTTTTAATATTTGTGTTTGATTGCAAGTAGGAATCAGGTTTGGACCAAGTTAAAAAAAACAAACATCCCTCTACTCCACCCCTAAAAAAGAACACTGATGTACTGGTATACCAGTTTAAGGTCATATTAGATTTCCGCTAAGGACTAGCGATTCTTATCAAACCACATATTCTAAAATCAAGTATTTCGAATAAACATTTAAATCAAAAACAAATTTGCTCAAGAATTCATATTGTCTATTTGCCTTCATTTAAATACAATTTCTTATGTTGAAGAAAAAAAATAACCTGTAAAGTCCTATCCAATCTCCTTTTAAACCTGAAGTGAGCTGTGGTCCTGCTTTCTCCAGTGTCTTCATGAAGTCCTCTTGGCTAAACTGTCTCAGCTGTGGTGGACTCTATGGAAAGAATTAAAAAAGATGAATTATCTAACTTTTTTCCCCCCCCTCTTCCCTCTAAGTGGCCATTTACAGCTCATTGCAATTATACATCCTTACCTTCCACGGTGATATACATTTTTGCAGAGGCATTAAACTTGCCACATAACGTTCCTGGAAAAAGACAAAAGAAAGCTTGTTTACATAACCAGTTCTTAAGAAGCATAAAGCAAAGGGCTGTGAATTTCAAATACTGAGGAAGGATTAGAGATTTGCTTCTTACTCCATGATTAAAAAAAAAAAATACTAAAAAGTACATACACATTTTTCTTAGCATAAATGCTACGCAGTACATCTCAAGTGAACACCTGAAAATGCAGTACAGCGAAAGATACAGAGGAGTGTTCCATTTTGAGATCTAAGCCTGCTCTGTTTCATAATAGACATTAGGCTACTACATTCAGTATTTTCAAGCTAAGTGTTGCAATTCAAGAAGTGTAAGCTTACAGCAAGAAGTGTAGCATTACAGAAAAACTAATACAGACCCTAATGTTAAATTTCTATAGCTCAAATATGATCCAAAAAGACTAATACTAAAAGAGAAAAGTGTAAAAGCCCACCAAATCTACCCCACATCATATTAAAAACCCTCATTGGTATAACAACTTACTAATGGAATAATGAAACTTTCTGTCAATTCCAAAAAATAACGCCGAAGAATCACACTCTGAGCTTCTGAGGGACGTTTCTGCTGTACACCCTTTAAAAAGGATTCACAGTACAAGTCTGTTATCGCACTGCTCACCCCTCACCATTAAAGCAAAACAATCACAGCAAGCACTTGAGTATATTCACTCTTTATTTAGCTATTTAAGACATGAATTTTAATGTCAAATTCAAATAGGAAAGGAAAAATTTCTATAAACATACTTTTACACAAGTTAGAATATAGGAGAGAGAAAGAGTAAGAGAGAATTAATTTCAGTCTTTTTAGATATGCAGAGATATCTCAGCCCTAAATTAAGACAGCAGCATTCAATACAGCAGTATTCAAAATTTCTATTAAGAATATATGCAAAGTATTACCTTTTGTAATTGCTTTATGATTTCTTCATCCTTGTTTAAATATGTCTTATAAGATGTATAAACCCCTAAAAAGAAAAGGGATTTATCAAAGGTAAAAAGTATGTTCTTTTTAACTTAGAAAAAGTGGAATGCTTGAACTTCAAAACAACTTATTACCAGGTTTTGAGTCCAAAGTTTTTAGGTTCTTGAGTTTCTTCACTTTCATCTGCTTTGGAACTTCACCTGCCAAAACATTTAAAGCCATCTTACTGTACATTATCACTCCCAAAATAAATACTATAATTCATCCACTACATTGCACTGCTTTATTATAAGTTAATATCTGTATTTAGAAGAGAATCTAATGCAATAAAAGACATCACAAGCAAGTACCGAAGAATGTATCTGAAAGCATACACTAAGCAGACAAGCAACATCATCAGCCCTGCCATTTGTCAAGGGCTTCCTGGCAAAGCCACAACAACAACAACAAAAGAAAAGAAAAACATCTTCCTGGCAAAGCCACAACAACAACAAAAGAAAAACAAACAAAAACCACACAAACTCATGCCAAAACAAACACAAGATTATTTGAAAGTTCAAATAAAATGTTACCACTATTGAGTATTACTATTTTTTAAATGCCTAAGCCATTAGATGCAGCAATGTAGGACCTTAATTTCATTTAACAGATATCCATCTAGGAGAATTTAGTTAGTATGTTTTTAGACCTTAACCTACTTCCTATATTTTGGTTAATAAATAAGCACAAAAATAGAGCTACTGAACTCTGAGACAGCAAGTGACATCACAGTATATTTTTAATCACAGGACTGCAGTAGAATTTCTATCTTACCTGGAAGTTTAATATCTCCGATACGGATAATGTGGGGCCAGTGCTGGAGTGTTTTAGCAAAAAAAGGGTTGGTCACCCCTAAGATGACAGATGGTCTACAAATACAAACACAAGATTTCAAATATGACACCAAGAGCTCTGTCTTCATGGTTACATTACACCTACTTCTCAAATGTGCCTAACAGTCTGTGCCTGTTCAGATATCCGAAGAACTTTGTTCAAAAAAGCAAAATTGAATACAACTATAGAATCCAATCCCAAATCAAGTTCCACTTCAATAATTTATATAACAAAGAAACATCATAAGAGTATGAGTAACAAAATAGAAGTATGATTTAAAAGGAGAAAAGTACTTTAACGCAATTTCACAAATATCATTTTGTAGAAAATGTGAGACTTCAAAAGCATTCTAATTTCTGAATTATTTAAAACTTTTTTTAGAAAGTTTAAAAAGTTTGTTTAAAGGATAGTCTCCACTAGAGCATCACCCAGATTAATTTACAGAACAGTTGTACCGAAGCTGAACTTTAGAAGTCACTTCATTCAGTAATTATAAAATCACAGAGTCATAGAAACCTTAAGGTTGAAACGGACCTTTAGAGATCATCTAGTCCAACCCCTCTGCACACACAGGGTCAAAAATTGAGTACAGAACACTATTTTGACCCTGCCATTTCAGACCAAATATTGCAAAGGCAAAGCCTTGCTGAACATTAAAAAAACTTATCTTACTTTCCTATTTCCAATTTTACTTACTTTACACCAAAGGAACCCCTTAAGCTAAGTTCAAATTAATTTTGAGATAATGTCAGTTACTCATGACATTGCTTCGTATTTTCTGTATCCTAATTGGAGTATTTAAAACAGCTAATTATTGTATTCCATAGGATAAGCCTTACTTATAATTCTAAGCAACACCTTCAACATGAAATCCGATTTACTTACGGAGCTTGTGTTCGAGTTGTATATTCTTTGAATTCACTGTCATGTATGGTAAAGTATGGCCTGAAATCACTGCAGTACTTCAGAGGTGAAATGCAACTGTAGAGCGAGGCGAAAAAAAAAAAACAGGCAAGGAAAGAAGGCAAGGCAAAGAAGTCATGAAAGAAAGCAAAAACCGACAATTTAAAGTCTATTAGATTTAGATCAACTGGAGTCGCAGCCAGCTGCAAGCTGCAATGACTCACTCAGTTCTTACTTTGGAAGCTTTGCTCTATTTACCTAACAAGTGCTAGCACAGTTTCTGAAGACTCAGATGGTGATGGTGCCATCACAACAAGTGGTTCTCCTAGCAGTACAAGTTCCCAGAGCATCTGAATGTGAAAGAACACTGGACAGAAACACCTAAAATCAGACAGAAAGAATGCAATATCCTTATCAGAACTAAAGGTATTTAATTTACAGAACTGCATAAAAGGATCTTTCAAGTACCATGCACAAGTGGCTACAAACAATAAATACTGCAAAAGGGTATAACCAAAAACTTCCAGTTAAGAAGTGTGTTTTAGCCAGCTTGACCAGAAAAGAGCATTACAAATAATATTGATAAACCTAGCTTGCAAACTAATAGATTTTTATGAAGGTCTCATTAATCATTGACCTGTGGGAATTCATAACTAGAGATAAATCAGTCTAAACTCCTACCTGAACAGGTCAACTTCATGAACAGTAGGTAAGGCCACAGAGATTTGTGCATCTGCCTGAAAGATATTACAATGCTAGTCTTCAGTCATCGTAATATACAAGTATTAAAACAATTTCCCTTAAATGCTTACACACAGAGTATCATACATACGTTAAATACATACTACTACACAAGTAAGTATTGATTTGCCTAAAAGCAAGATTTTTCTCCCACTTATGGCCATATGACTTTCAGTCCAGAAACAATACAAGACCCAAGTTGTTTCAAGTCACAGTCATACAACATATGAAGGCACACACAGACTTGTTTTGTATACAATTTCTAAGCAAATCTTTTTAATGTTGTCCTCCACAAAACTACAATTTAGTATAATTTCACTCACAGAAATGATATTTTGAGTTAAGTGATTTCATGAATCAACCATCCTCCTATGTTGGATGATTAATGTCCTGTCCTAACATGTTTGAGGTAACTGCGTTAAAATATCTTTTCTGGGAGGAACCCAATCCTAGACTCTTCTACTCAGAGCTTCAAAGACTTGATATTTCATTACTACAAAGGGTATGAGGACGTGCCCCAATCTTTTCTAAAAAGAAATTTTAAGAGAGTGAAGGCAGCTATTTATTGTGGTGGTGTGTACAACAGCAAGATCTCTACCTGGTGCATGTTCTGTACTACTTGGGTTGTTCCAGGCTTGTCGCGGTATGTTGGAATCCGCAACTTCAGAAGAAAGAAAATAATTATTTTTCTTGCATCTAATCCAGCGGAGACTTAAAATACTTCGGGACATAGAAAATGTGACACCAAATGATTCTTCATTTATTCTATAGAACATTCCCATGACAGTGAATAGAGAGCTAGAGACTCTGTAATATCTGTAAATAATTGCTACAGGAATCAATATGCTATTAGTATTATATTACAAAGTTGAATTGAATATTAGAATATGAAAGTTGCACTTGAGTTAAGCAAAGAAGCGTTCCCGATAACATTTTTCACAACTTTTACAAGAAAGTCAAACCAAATTGTTTTAACAGTAAAGAGAAACATCTGAAAAAGTTATGGAATATTGCATTAGTATAGGAATACTGTATTGCTTCAAAAACCTCAACCAAAACATCAGACTTCTTAATGGGTATGGGGCAGAAATTAAATATAATGAACAACATTAACATAATGAACAACATAAACATCTTTTCCTGACCCCACACTATACACCTGTTAGTAATACAGTACCACAAATTTAATCACACTGGAGGCTGGCGTGAGCAAATGGATCTAAGGTCTAAGTGATTTCTGAATTATTTAAAACTTTTTTTAAACTTTTTTAAAAGTTTAAACTTTAAACTTTTTTAAACTTTTTTAAAAAAAGTTTTAAATTTGTTTAAAGGATAGTCTCCACTACTGATTAAAAAACAAAACAAACAAACAAACTTTAAAGAGCACAAAATTTACCTTCATTACAACACCCATAATGGGCAAATGCAGTATTTCCCCTGGAACAGGAGGTGGCCAACGATCAATGTCACTGCAGACTTAAGGAAAATATATATATCAAGTATATTTTGTAGCTCTTTTACACATACTGTAACCCATGACATTATAGCCAACTTGCTATATAATGATAAATTAATGGTGATATCTCATAACTTTTCTACTTGTTCAATTCATGCTCTAAAGTTTTACTGGATTTTTGATAACAGTTTTACAATAGTTTTAATCAAATAGCACATTATAAGTTATTAATTTCAAGAACATGGTACCAGCTTGTCTTCCATTCTTAGCAGCAACCACACTTACAACCAGTTTAAGAAACATGCTGTGAGGGCAATCATGTAAGTATATCTTAAGAAACCTTGAAGAAAGCACACATGATGTAAGAGCACACTTAACATAAGTTGGTTGTTGAACAGATAAACCCAAGTACTTGGGAAAATCATCCAAAAAACAAATCAAGTTTTCTAAAGTTTCAGCACTCTATCCTAAGTGAAGACAGACATGCAAGCTGGAATAGGACACTGTTGTTATTTCTCCAAAACAAATACATGGTACTTTAGGAGCTCTTTCGTAAGAATTTAGTAGTGCCACTACCTGCTTCCAGGAAAGCTTCACTCTTTTCAAAATATTCTGGTGCTATTTGCTTAAGCACAGTGCGAAAAAAGTGGACATATGGTAGTTTGCTGATGAGAACCAAGGACTGGAATAAAGAGTAACAAAACACTGTGTAAGAACACTGTCTAAAGTTAACCTCCTTCCCCAAGAGAACTTCCAGTTCTAGTAGTAATTCTCATATAGTATCAAGTGAATTTTCCACACAATCAAGTCAACCACACATTTAACTTCAGGTAACTGCAAACAATCAGTTCCAAAGAGTTTCAAACTTATTGCTTTAATACAAAACAAAGTTTTCTTCGGAGAGTGCATCTGGAATGTATTATTGATATAAAGTGTGATCAGTTTACTAGTTTACTGTAAGTCACAGCAACAGCCATATCCACAAAAGGTAACTACAAACTACCCATTAGAGACTATCCTGGATTATAAACTAAACCTGAAAAATTATTCCTTGGCTACTTGCAGACTTAGTAAACAAAATGTACTGTAAGAACACAATAATTGCTATATATTTCACTTTTCTACTTCCCATTCAATGATACATAAGTCTCACTTAAATGATTCATAACAGTAGCCACAAAACTGCTAAAAGATCAAGCTACTCATACTGTTCTTTCCAGAGACACTAAAATAGTGGAATTATGATGTTGCTAAGTTAATTAAAATTACCTTCTGGAAATAGCCTCTTTTTAATGATTTGTCTCGAACTTGTCTGAAATACACGTAGCCATAGTAGTAAGCTGGATCCTTCTGGGAAAAAAAAAAAAAGAGAAAAAAAAAAACACACAAACGAAAAAGAGAATTCAATACAACGACCTGATGTCATCTTTCTTTTTGAGCATGAGCAAACTTACTTCCTTACAAAATCTGAAGCTGATTAAATATAATGAACTATAAGGATTACCCTTTTTAGTGGCATTAAAACTTTTACAACTCCTTTGAAGAGAAAGCAATAGTGTAAGCAAATGACTATGCTTTCTGTCTTTGCTATTCTTTCATCTATATTCTCTTGAAACACCATGGAAGCAAAACCAGAATTAATTCCCTGAGAAATACATCAACAGGTAATTTTGCAAAGTTGTTCCAAAAAAATGTTAGGAGTTAAAAACAAAAGACACAAAGAAAAAACCCTCACACCTTAAAGCAGCTCTGGCTTTTGTATAAAGAGAAAAATCTAGTCTTTCTGTGCATTAGCTCATTAAAAAAGAAAAAAAAGGTATTAAAGAAGCATTCCCTCACATTTCAAAGCTAAAACATGAGCTTCATTCTTCCTACAGACAGGAATTCAGATATTTGCCATAACAACAAATCTAAACTGAATCCGAGTGACACTCCCACTAGCACAGTTAAAGTCAACTTGCCACTGAGAACAACTTTTTGGCTATTACCTCTCTTTGGTAACTCCTCCACCTTTAAAAAGTGAAAAGGAGAGACAGAGAGGAATTGCTGGGAAGACCTAGGTTTTCCTAGGTCTTATAAAAAGTAAGTACTTCAGACTTCCAATAACAGTTCTTACAAATTGATGTGCAGGTTTCTAGTCAAAAATAAAAGAGGTGTCACCAGTGTAATTCCATGCACTGCAAAATAATTAATGAATATTTAAAAGATAATTATCAGGACTCATTATTAGTTAAATAATATGATAATGACATGCTTAAAAAAAAAAACCTTTGCCTTTCAGTGTATCCCATTTGAGTTCGTGTTTTTTTTGAACATCTATTTAAGTGTGAACCATTCAACCATTACTGTCACCCAGAAGAGATTAACTGCATTGTTTCTTATTCCCAACCTTTAAGTAAACTGGTAGATCTCTATCCAAATGGTCCAGAAAACAGCATAATGAGACTTTTCTTCCAGAAGACCGTCGAAATCTAAAACAAAACTGTGTGTCCCCAAGACAACCTATATAAGGGGAAGATATAAACAGCAAACAACAGTATTTGGAATGTTTTGTTCTGATCTTTATGTGATGACAATAAATAGACCTCTTTAGAGCAAAAAGAAAAACATCTCTACTTCACAGTGAATATATTAGCTTCAAGGACTTACACTGTCATATCCCTAACATTTCTACTAGTAGCTGTCCTCCCAATATTATTCCAGATTTTATTGCCCTGGCTGTACACTTTTCATCCTCACCACATGTCATTTTGCTGCTGAATAACTTCGTGTGACTTTTTCAATACTCAAGAGAGGAAAGTAAATAGATCAGTCATACTCTAAGTGCCCTATGCTGATCTCTAATACCATGGGGATGCCCAGGACCAGCCTAATATTTCTACAAGGCTAGAACACCAACTACAGAAAAGTGAGCAAAATATAGACTTTCTCAAGATGCTGACAAAACACAGTGTTATTCTTAAACCACACTCAAGTGAAATATTTGCTATTAATGCAAAGTAACATCTGGAGAGTATGAGGAGAGGGGAGACTTTTCATTAACACAAGTAGTGAAGTCTCCCTTGAATCCTATTCAAATGGACTTCCTAAAGAAAAATTTAACTAAGTATACTGACTACTTGCAGTCTGCGAAGAAATTAGGGCTAGCTTTTGAATCAGCTCAAAGGAACTTTCCCCAGGTGGAACGTAGCTTTTATCAGGACTTGTATCCCTGACATCTTCATGGCTATTTTCTCACCAGTAAAGTGTTGTTTGTTATTTTTAAAAAAGGAACTAAAACAAGTAAACAAACACAGAACAACAAACACTGAAGTTCAAAAAGAGGACATAAGTATATGCTGAATGGGAACGGCTACGCATGGGAACAGCGGCAAGGGAGATGGGTAGAACGGAGAGAACATGGAGGCACATCACAACCCTGGCAAACCTGCTTTAAAACCAACAGCCCACCCTTTTCAAAGGCAGTGTACTTAACATGAACACAATCAACTGAAAGACAAGATCCTGGGCACTGCCTACTGTATTGCAGTACAGTATCCAAAATACACAATAGCAGCAATGCAAACCTTCATGTTAACAGCTACATAAATAAATTTACCAAAATTATTGAACAGAACTTCACTAGAGCTTTGCTCTTACAGGTTTTTGACAAAATTTGAAAAGATCCTTAGAACGAAAAAAAAAAATCTGAAGTAAATAATGATGCTCTGGGCTCTGCACAGCTGTCCTGTTACACCAATCACTGCTATTAGACCCAATACTGAGGCACAGCTCCATTCTCCAAATAAACATTCTGCAGAGTATGAGCTCAACTCTTACTTCTCCTATTTAGTTAAGAAGCTTCTTACTTCTTCAGCCACATATATGCAGCTGTAGCAACCAACGATGCCCCAAATCCTAAGCAAGATCCAGCTGGCTGTGCAAGTGATAGTGTGGTTTAATGCTGTCATGTTCACAGCATTCAAGTCAGCCTCAGACTCCCTAGAAGACGCAGTAGAAAGTCCACAACACACTGAGATAAAATTGAATAGTAGCAGAATATTATACCACAGGCTACCCATGCAGTAGTCTAGAGAGTAACCAATAAAAGCACTGAACCACATGAACCAGCAAGATAATTAACAAGAAAAATAACTTACATGCCAATAATAAAAGCACAAATTACTTTCTCCAGGTTTACGTAATTATTTCCCTTAATTTAACTTCTGGTATTGGCCTAGTTTGCCTTATATGGAGAAGACCTAAAAGTAAGCTATCCTTGATTACTAATGTACAGAGATACCATTCAGGATTGGTTGCTCTTCCTCCATGTAGAATCTGAAAAAGTAAACGGCTGTTCTTTCCTCAACTATCCATTCAAAGTAGAAGCATTAAGAATAACTGTATTAAGAAACTTAGATTAAAAGACAAAAGGAGTATCATTATCTCATGCCTCATTAAAGTCACTTCCATCACAGCTCACCTACACATATTAAAAGGACCCGTCTCCATCAACCCATGTAAGAAATGTCATGCTGCAGAGCAACAAAAACAAAGTAAGAGCAGTTACAGGGACAAGTTTGTTACTATATGTTTGGGTATATTAAGTGCATAGAACATGAAAGGCAGCATCTGCACTTCTGCCATCTCTTTCTGCAGGTGGTCTAAGTCATCAGCCATGTGCCTCCAACTCCTCCGGCAGCAGGACACGAAAGGTTTAGATGAAAGAAGAATTCAGCAAGTGGGACCACACACAGCAACAGAAGCAAAGAAAAGAAGAGAAGATATAAGACAGAGGCTTTTCCCTTCAGGGCTTTTGCAATCAAAAGCATTTAGAATGACAATTCAACTTCACTCTTGTAATTTTTACCTATTTTCTAAATTTCTGAGAAGGTCCCACACCCTTTGCATCAGCTTTACTAAATCCTTTTAATTCTGCATCTACACCTTTGCCTACAATGACAAAATTATTTTGAGAGAGATATTAAAAGATTTATTCTTTGCTTGCAAGGTATTCTGAAACATCCACATGCATATCTTCTGAAAGGTCTTAAGTATTCACGTTCCTGATGTTCCGCTTATACAAATCAGAGTCTTCAGCTTTTACTACAACACAGATTAAAATTTTGTATTTAATCTTAATTCCAACTATTCCATACTGTAATATTATTATATAAGTATACAGATATTATTACATAATATGATATTCACATATATCTGAAATACCATGGAAATACGCTGCTAAACTCTATCTGGTTTATACAGGTTAACCCAACAAGAGATTCAAACTTCCATCTACAGAGCAAAGGAAGCACTTACCTGAATTAGAATCTGGAAAAGACAAATAGCAAATATTGGTCTTCTAAAGGATGAAAAAAAGGAGGAGAGCATTATATTTCAAAAAAGAACTAAATGAAAAACAAATGATTTATTTATACAGCAACCATGACTTACCTCTTTATCAGTGAGTTTTGAATGTGGGGGATATATCACCTACAGGAAAAAAAAATAGTAGTATTTTATTTGAGAATAAGGTAGGTAAGTTAAGCCCAAAATTTATCCTTTAAATATTCTAAGGATATAAGCCTCACATTTATCTAAGCTTAGCTTATTTTCAACGGCAAGCTATGTAAACTACATGCCTGTTCCTACTTTGTAAATGCTTTTAGCTCAAGGTGGTCACCCATCTTTGCAAGATATTTTGGAACAAAAGAGACAGCACAGGCACATTCCACAAGTCAGATTACTTAATTCAAGGTTTTAGTGCAACTGGTCTATAAAGAAGAGGAGAATTATACTTCTTTGCTTTAACTAGTACTTAGGAGATGCAGTGGCATGTGTCAACCAAAGCTTTTTGCTCACTAGTGCTTCTATGTCTTTCCAGAAATCAAAGGGTGATGAGTAAAAACAACAACAATTTATTTCTATCCTGTTATGTGTTCTCAGTCTTTCTGGCCTGCACTTCACAACGATGCAAGGGTCAAGCACACAAGTGTGGCGCAGATTAACATATTCCTCACTAAATAAATGCCAAGGGAACCGAACAGGAAAACCACTCCTGGGTGCTGTGACAACGCCCTCTGCTCAAAACCAGGAGGTGTTAAAGGCCCATCAGTTGCCCATCAGAAGCACAGAAGTGAAAAGCCTGCAAGGCAGACACAAGGAGCAGAGGAGAACTACAGATCATAATTCTATTGTTCCCTAGCTTCCCAGGGCTTGCCCTCACAATCTAAATGTCCTTCACAAGCATTTATTTCCTTCCTCAAATAATAAGTTCAACCTGTTGGACCAGAAAGTCTGTTCTGAAAAACAGATTGAGGGCTGTAGCAGATCCATTGCCATAAAGCCCAGCTTTATTATAAGACTTCAAACCATTAGTGAAAGAAAAAGACCTTCTTTCCGCCAAAGAAAATGTGTAACTTCTTCTGTGAAAGGAATTGGAAAGTGAGAAAAAATGCTTGCTTGGCAACTTCTTTATTTTCTAACCCTCAGCAGTGTAGTCTGCACACAGCAAAGATTAACGGGACTGTTATCATCATTGAGTTGCCTGTAGAAAGACGGAGGCTGTGCTGCCTTCAGCCACAGGGAACATTATCTGTTTAAGTCATAGCTTGTAAAGACACTCTTGTCTTGGTTGTTAACAGCACCTTATAACGGGATGCAACTACACCTCAGAAAGCCAGGATGCTGCACTAGATACTTGTTTGCATTTCTCTTGCAGCAGCTATGTATATCAATTACACATCTTAAGTTTTGCGGTATCTAGCTTTGTTGGCCAGCCTTCAATACATTTATACTATTAGTGTTAAGAAACGGGGGAGGGGGAAGCAGAAAGAAGGGCAGCTCCCCGGGCTCGGCGAGACGCTACCGCCA